ATATATCCAAAGGACTATAAATCGTTCTACTACAAGGACACATGCACATGAATGCTCATTGCAGCACTGTTTACAATAGCAAAGACCTGGAATCAACCCAAATGCCCATTGATGATAGACTGGATTGGAAAAATGTGGCACATATACACCATGGAATATTATGCAGCAATCAGAAATGATGAGTTCGTGTCGTTTGTAGGGACATGGATGAATCTGGAGAACATCATTCTCAGCAAACTGACACAAGAACAGAAAATGAAGCACCGCGTATTCTCACTCATAGGCAGGTGATGAAAAATGAGAACACATGGACACAGAAAGGGGAGTACTAAACACTGGGCTCTATTGGGGGGAAAAGGGGAGGGCCAGTGGGAGGGGGAGGTGGGGAGGGATAGCCTGGGGAGAAATGCCAAATGTGGGTGAAGGGGAGAAGGGAAGCAAAGCACAATGCCATGTGTGTACCTACGCAACTGTCTTGCATGCTCTGCTCATGTACCCCAAAACCTAAAATGCAATAAAAAATTAAAAAAAAAAAAAATCAGATCTCACATGAACTCAGAGTGAAAACTCACTCATTATCATGAGGACAGCAACAGGCCATTCGTGAGTGATCTACCCCAATGACCCAAACACCTCCCACTAGATCCCACCTCCCACATTGTGGATTACATTTCAACATGAGATTTTGAGGGGACAAACATCCAAACCATATCAAGAGGCAATTATGCCACGCTTTTCTATACTAACAGAAACACTATTAATACTTACATACATATCACCTTTCTTCATTATTCCTATCCCATTAAGTGACTATCTGTTCCTGTGTAATACTATACAGTTGTCATTACAGTCAATTAATACCAAGTATAAATCTCTGGTAGGACAAGGCCCCTGTCTTCTTTGTGAAGAAATGTGAAAACTTTTTTCTGTGAAGTTCATTTCTCTTTGTGAGGGAAGACTTTTTTCAATTCTCATGCTTTTACTCTTCAGCATGAGCTGTCAATTCATTGCATTCTCCCACACAGGAAAAAAAAAATCCATTAGGATTCAGAATGGATTTTTAACAGCTCTATTGCTACTGACTTTTATTTCATACTAGAAAGTGTCTAATAAGACATCTTTATCAAAGTCTCATTGCCCCTCTTTAAAAGAGAAATTATAAATAGACTGTTGACCACTTTTTGTTTTTGAATGGCATTTATCATTCTGGGCTATATTTTCTTAATATATGAGATATAGACTTTCAAAGCCTACTGAGGTCACCTTGGTCTCTGTTCCTACTTATTTCCAAACATAACTAAGGACTAATCTGGCTACTCTGCTCAGAAAGAAAAAGAATTATCTTTAAATAATCTAGCAATATACCATTCTCAGTCACCTTGGAAACAAAATATCCCATGTCAACAAAGAACAAGAAGAGCTTGAATTTTTTTCATGACATTTTATTTGAACGGAATCTTTATAGCAAATGGAACAAAGCAGATTTGTTTTATAATTTTAAAACATTTTTTTGTTTTGCTTTACTTATTAATTTCAGTCCCCTAGTTTCTCAGGGGAAAAAAAAAATCACACAACTGTTTCTGTTTAACATGATGAGGCAAACTATAAGACACACACCTAGTCCTGTGCTTTCTGTTCTTTTTTTCACGATATTCCATTTCCTTTCTTCTTAGTACCAAAAATATTATGATAGCAGTGCTATGAAGAGGACTGTGTCTGGGAGTTTAGTGACAACCAATCCTAGATCTACCTATACTTGCCACATCCTCACTATGTGATCTTGCCATTCTAACTCCCATATTCAATGACAGCTATATGTCTTTTAAAGTTTATCAGTTACATCAGACCATATATATAACTCAGAATAAGTTCAAAGATAAGATATTTTAGCAATTTCTAGAAAAAAAATTCTTTCACTTTACTGGAATAAACTATACAAGATTTACAAAAACGAAAAGTGATACCAATGAAAAAATATAAATGGTTAATTAGCTTCATATTTATCATGAGTTGGGGCCATCAATTGACTTTTGCCATAACATTTTACCTAGTCCATAAAATGTTATTTTCAAATAAGACTTTGGTGCTTTAGAAAATGGAGCTGTACATGCTTTGAGAAAGTAAGGTGACTATGAAAGGAGACCTAGTTTTTGTATCCCAAAAGACTTTTACAAAGCTTTCTCTGAAGAAAGATTTGAGTGAGTACAATGGAAAGAAGGGGGAAATTGTATGCTGCAGATGAAGGGAGGAAAAGCCAGCAAGGTCCAATAGGTAAAGAGAGAACTAGTCTCAAATAGTAAATACATGATTTACCTAGCAAAAGCTTTATTAAGGCATAGCTGAATTACACTGGGGATTTAGTGTACAGATTATAGATTTTACAATGCAAAAAAAGCATCTTAAATGTTGGCTGCAATAACTGACAGCAGGAATAATCACTTTTGAAAAAAAAATTGGCTACTCTTTTCTGTGTTTTCCATATCTCAGTTTAATATTATGTTCCTCAAACACTATAAAGTTGAAAACTGTATTGATTACTTGGGAAATTCTGGCAAAACTGAGGTGTTTGTTTCATTAATTATCCATGTTATTTATCTTCTTAATCAACCTAAATTTAGCCTGAATAGCATGTTAGGGACTGAAGACTTCCAAAGAACAGAGAACACCTTTTTTTAATTAAATAAATTCCTCTGATAATATTTTAATATGACTCAAGAATCCAGCAGTATGGATTCTCTACATCCATGAAAAGAGGTACTTCATACAATTCTGTGAATATGAGACTAAAATACAATTCCAATTACGAGGTAATTTTTGGTTTTAGTCTAAGGCAGGAAGAATGAAGACTAGTCACACCGAGAACCAAAGCCTTGCTATGATTTCCTTTTGTGAGTGCTGGAAAGAAATTGGTGAGGGAATTTTTTTTTCCCTTCCCAAAAGAGAGTAAAATTTTTGAAAGTCCCCGATAAGGTACAACCCTTATCCCTAAAGTTAGACCTACCAATAGCCCTGACCCCAGATCATTCTGGTGTCTGTATAGAGTGTTTGTAAAGATGAGTGCAATAATTCCTCCCATCATCTCCACATGCACCTCTGTGGTTTTGCCACTCTGCCCATCAAGAAGTGGGGTTGAATTTCTAGAATCTGGTCTTAGCTGTTTAACTTGCTTTGACCAATGAGATTTGAACAAAAAGTCTCAAGCTCAAACTTTCTTTTAGCTATGCTGGAACCATGAGACCATTACATGAAGATGCCTCAGAAAACCTGTTAGAGATATTTGACCCAGGTAATAGCCAGAACCAAGTCAAGCAGCCATCTTCCATCATCCAGACTACCCAAGTCACATTACTTGTGCACGAGTGACCTCCACAAAAAAACCATTGACATGAATCTAGCCCAGAATTGACCCAAAGGATGAGCAAATAAAATACTTATCTCTTTGCCAAATAAAACAATGTTGCAGACTCTCCCAAGTCTCCTTATTACTATTATTTTAATTTTAATATGGAGGGGTTTTTTTAGATAGAGTTTCGCTCTTTTTGCCCAGGCTGGAGTGCAAAGGCCTGATCTTGGCTCACTGCAACCTCTGCCTCGCGGGTTCAAGTGACTCTCCTGCCTCAGCCTCCCAAGTAGCTGGGATCACAGATGTGCACCATCATGCCCAGCTAATTTTTGCATATTTTGTAGAGACAGGGTTTCACCGTGTTGGCCAGGCTGGTTTCGAACTTCTGACCTCAGGTGATCTGCCCATCTCTGCCTACCAAAGTGCTGGGATTACAGGAATAAGCCATAGTGCCCGGCCCCAAGTCCTCTTAAATCATATAAAATTTAAGGAGTATGTGGCACGTGCAGTTTTCTGTGAAGAGGATCCTTAATCTTCATCAGATTCTCAAAGTGATCCATGAGCCAAAGCGATCTACGGGCTGATCTATAAGCTCACCAGTCCCAATTACGATTTCTCTTCCAGAGCTGGCCTTCTCAGCTCTGGTTTGACCCACTGGCCACAGTGTGTGGCTGGCTTTGGAAAGAAAAGAAAACCCTATTTACATTATTTGTATCCCAGCATCCTCACCTCTTCATGAGTCTAGCTGAGTAAGAATTTGGATCTTAGTTCCCACCTTTTCCTGTGCATTCATTATGATGCATGGAGCAATGAGAGTAATTCTATGTTAAATGTGACCAGAGGTTGGCGGACCAAGGAGCAAGTTACCATCCTCCCAAATTACCTTTACACTTCCATAGAAAGTCCTCTAAAAACTTGCCACAGGCATTACCAAATTTACCCTTTATTGCCTTATGGTAAGCCTTTGAGGTAGAAATCACTAAAGTTACTTACTCCAGGTCATAAAGCAAACCAAATACACCTCAATACCAAAGCTTGAATCCCAGAGAGAAAAATAAAAAAATAAACAGCACCCAGAACCCTAAGGGTTAGCAAAGACTCTTCTAAACCATCTGTCCGGGTCAGCTCCTCATTTAGATCGGTGCTGACAGAAACGGAAACGCCAGGGGCCGGAAATGTGGCCAGGGCGATGCCCCTCTGTTCTGGGCACCACCGTTCGTTCGCATACATCGTCAGTGTCATTAGGTGTTACTCGGAAAGGAGACACGCCTGCCTAGACTGCCGTGAAAGCTGAGCGTTACAGGGGACGTAGTGGCCCTCAGGTTACCGACCAGGTCCGTTAGATTCCACAGGACAAAAGGCAGGGAGCTGCCTGGTCTTGGGGCCTTTAAATAGAGAGGCGCCATCTACTGCCGAGAACCCAGTCAACATCTCGGGGACAAAGCTGCACTCACTCCCGGACAGCTGAGCTCTGGGCCCCGTCAGCCCTACTTTGAGCCTCGTCCACTAAACGGCAACTCCAGCAGTTCCAGCCGCAATGCCCCCACGCCCGGGCCCCGTTGGCCTGCAAAAGCGAAGACTGACAAGCACTCTGTCCGCGCGCACACCGGTGGCTCGCGGCACCGGTGGCCCCGCCCAGGCCCGTACACTCACTCACCAGCCTGGTAGCCCGGTATGGCCCGGGCCCCACGATGCGGTGCTCCATGGCGCGTAGGCAGCAGCGGCCGCAGCCGCGCCAGCGCCGATCCCCGCCAGCCGGCGGAGCAGCAGTTTGAATCCCGAGCCCTCGGGCTCCGGGCGCTGATTGGGCGGTGCGGCGGCACGTGACCGGAACTACGTGGTGTGGGCGGGGAAGCCGGCGTCTCCTCGAGTACCCGCGGCTGAGGGAGCTTCGGGTGCCAAATTGTCGGGTGCGAAATCTATTGCCCACCCTGGTCCCACCGTGCTAGCTCACATGGGTGGGTGCAAGTGAAGGGCCGGGGGCGTGTTCCCCGCTCTTGACGCCGCTCTGCAGCGTCCTTCCCAGATTTCTGCACCTGCTCAATACGCTTCCTCCACAAAAGGGTCAATAAAAGGGTGTTATCCAGCAACCGAGACCCAGCTCTAGGCCGCGTGGATAAATCCCTGTCCTCCCTACCAAGTGCCCTATGAACCTGGAGGTGCTGCTAACGCTGGGAGAAGCGGGTTGTGAAATGAAGCGAGGCAACAGCTTTTACGAGTGGAGGGACATTTAAAAACGGAATAAAAGCACATGGCCAAAAGGAGTGTAGACAGTGTGTACGGGCAATAAAGAGCGGGAAGGAAGTCCCAATTCGTCTTCTGTTTGTTCTCTTGATAGTCTTTTCTCCTTCAATTTGAGTTCTATGTTTTGTATTGGACTAAAATTTTTAGTCCTCCGCAGTAGGGTTCTGAGTCCTTTGACTGCTTAGAAATTTCCCTCTGGGAATTGCTAGTCCGATTTGCAATCTTTCAGAGGGACGAATAAAGTAACTCCATATACCTACGAACCTGTACACCTGTTCAAATTTGGTCATATCGGTAAGTACCCAGGACAAGATGTTGAAGGAGTGAAGATGTGCCAATCTAAAATATGCCTAATTGGTATATTGATTATTTCAAGTCGAAAACATTGGAGAAATCGTAGTTTCAGAAAGGGCAAGCTGACCTGCCTCTTCCTATGCAGCAAGCCATAAAGATTTCTCTGGAAGGGGCATCCTCTCCCTACCACGGTGAGAAAACAGCCCTTATCACCAAAGGCTTGGATTTGAAGGCTTCAGTGGACCTGAATAAACATTCTTAACAAAGTAACCTTATCTTCCGCTAGGAAATATAGGAGATTTTTTATATATATCTTCTAGTGACTCCCTAGAAAATGTTACTGCCTTTGTGAGTCGTGGAAGTTACTCGAGTCATAGGGCACCAAAATATGTTAGCAGTTGCCCATATCCCGGACACAGGCTCAGAGTAAGTTACTGGCAGCGAATCCCTACAGATCTGCAGCAACCTCAATTCTTGCCTCCTCAGAAGAAAGAATTCGACTGAGGGGCAGAAGGCAGAAGGAGAGAACAAAGCAAGTTTTAGAGCTGAAGTGAAGGTTTATTAAAAAGCTTTAGAGCAGGAATGTAAGGAAGTACACTTGGAAGAGGGCCAAGCTGGTGACTTGAGAGATCTAGTGCGTGGTTTGATCTTTTGACCTGGGGTTTTATACGTTGGCATACTTCTGGGGTCCTGCTTTTTGGGGCTTTGCATTACTTCTCTCCTGATTCTTCCCTTGGGGTAGGCTGTCCACATGCTCATGCTTGAGCCCACTTGCCCAGCTCCTAAGATGTTATCAGGAAGCCGCTGATCACCAAGAGTTTTCTATTAGGAGACTGCCTTTCCCTGGTGCGGGCTGTGACCAACTATCATTTTAGAGAGACAGTTAACAGCTGCCTGACCATCACTTGAGGGTTGCCTGACATTCCTGATTGTGTGTGTGTGTGAGTGTGTGTGTGTGTGTGTGTGTGTGTATGAGGGGGAGCCCTCTCCTGCCCTGCTCTTGACTGAATAGCTATTTACTGTGACATCTTAGCCAGATTTTCTTTGTCATGGCTTTTCTTCTCAAATTTATCTTTATCTAAAAATAAATAAGTTAAAAGCATCTTACTTTGACCATTTCTTCAGACTTCACTCTCTTGTGAAGATCCCCATGTGCATGTAAAACTAATAAAATGTGTATACAGTTCTCTTGGTAATCTTTCTGGAGTCAATGTAGTTTCTAGATACAGCTGGAGAGCTCATTAAGTGGTAAAAGGGAGGTTGGAGGTGATCTGTGGCTCCCCTATGTCATAATAAGAAAGAGCTAATGTCAGGGATCGGATTCTCACCTTTTGTCATCCTCAAAACCACACCACTACTACCACCCATTTTCTGCTTCAGGTTTTTATTTAGAAAGCCCAAGAAAAGTCCTGAAATTATATATATATAGCTTTTGTAACCAGAAAAAGCAATTAAAACTGTTTTTCTTACTTCTAGTAAGTGAATCCTTATAAGAACTTTTTTTTTAAACCTCTAAGCACCATGGAAGAAATCTTCTTGTCCTTGGCAATAAATAGAAAGGGATACTTGTGTCCTTGACACAAGAAACAGGAGAAAGGGAATTTTAGAGCCTTGCCTGTCTGAGACCTGCCACCATCTATCATGGTGGTGAAACTGGAATTTGATACAAAACATCCTGTCCAGCATTATGCAGCTTTCTAGTTCTGTAAGTATCACAGACCATGAAATTCCATAGATCTGGATTTCAATAATGACTGGTAGTGCTTACCACCAGAGTGACTTATTTAATTTCCATCTTCTCACTGGTAAACTGGGAATATTAATGATTATCTTGCAGAGTTGTAAGGATGTATGTAAAGTGCTAAATACAGTACCCAGCATATATTTACAATGCCCAGCATACAGCAGTAATAAAAAAAACTATTTTTTAAAAAATCATGCCAGCTTCTGGAGCATTTCCCAAGACCCTGTTATTAGCCTTAAATAAGATGGCTGTTACTAGAAAGGCATACTTCCAAAGATTGACATATCAGAAGTCACAAAGAGTCATTGCAGGGGCCAGGGGCATCTCCCCAACACTGTGCCAGACTTCCACAACCACACAACACAAACACGCACGTGCTTTCTCTATAAAAGGGTCAATAAAAAGGTGTTGTCATCCAGCAATGCCTCACACCTATAATCCCAGTACTTTGGGAAACCAACGCAGGTGGATCACTTGAACCCAGGATTTCAAGATCAGACTGGGCAACATGGCGAAACCTGTCTCTACTAGAAATACAAAAATTAGCTGGCCATAGTGACACACTCCTGTAGTCCCAGCTACTCAGGAGGCTGAGGTGTGAGAATCACTTGAACCAGGGAGGTAGAAGTTGCAGTAGGCCAAGATAGCCCCACTACATTCCAGCCAGAGTGAGACCCTGTCTCTAAATAAATAAATAAATGCCTCAACTAAATCAAGGTCTTACATTTGTTCATTCACTTATTCAGCAAGTATATATGAATACACTACTGTGTGCCAGCTACAATTCCAGTCACTGGAATCATGCAATAGATAAAATGCAGCTTCTAGGAGCTAACTCCTAAGTAGAGGAAGGGATGATAAGCCAGCTATAATACATTCAAATATGTATCACATATCAGGTGATGGTTGAGTACTGGGAAGAAAAGCAAAAGACTAAAGTAGAGAGGGTGGTAGGGGGAAGTTGCTGTTTTGGTTCAGGTGGTCATTCAAGGAAGACATCGTTGATGAAGTGACATCTGAATAGGGTAGTTGTCTGGGGAAGAGCTTCTAAGCCAAAAGAATGAGCAGCCCATGAGAAACTTGAGGTGTGCCCATGCTTTCTATATCCAGGAGACATGGGAAGGAGGCTGGTGCTGACTAGAGTGAGGGGGAAAAAAAGGGGCAGTGGAGGAGATGGAGTTGAATACAGAGCGGAGTGGGGCTTTCAGGCCAGATTATGGGCCATGGGATTCTGATCTTATTCTGAATTAGTGAAAACATGTTAGCAAGTTTTGATCAGCAGAGTGATCAAAACAGATCACAATCATTTTGCTAATCTTTGGCCAATCATTTTGGCCAAATCACACAGGCCATTGTGTAGATACTGGACCGGGGTAGGCATCGAGGGTGAAAGAGGAGGCAGGAAAGCCAGTTGAGGAAGCTGCTACAATACCTCAGCAGGTGAAAGTAAACCTATTTGCTTGATATGGTGCGTGGCACATAGTGACATTCAACAATTATTTACTGAGTGAGTAAATGAGTGAGCAAATGCAACTAAGCCTTAGAAGTTATTCATTTCTTAAAGATCAATTTGATTCATTCATTCTGTTTGCCATTTATTATATGAATATATGCAACAAAATAATAGCTACCTTTCATATTTTTATTTTAGTCTATTAGATTTGCTTTTAAAACTCTTACTTTTTATCATTAAAGTCCTCTGAGCTTGCTTTTCCCTTTTGAGTTTGGGAAAATACAATCTATACACACTCCATGACTTGTGTTATAATTGCCCCTCCACCTCCTGCTGCCCCACACTTACATTACAGTACAAAGTTAGCATAATAAAACCTGTGCCAAGGAATGTAGCTCAGTGGATTTTCATATTTGAGTATAAGCTCAATTTCTGAAACATGATAGCTATGCCATATAGTGTATATGTTGAAGCATAATTCTTTACACCTTGGAAAGAGACATAATGAAAAAAAATTTTTAACTAACATTGATCTGGCCATGAAATATAGGATGAATTAAAGCAGAAAGATTCTGAAGATAGGAAAGCCATTTGGAGACAGCTGGAGGAATATGGGTATGGAATTCCATGAATAATAGAGTGTTATGAGAAAATACCCATATAATCTTGAGCAAGACTCAATGGCTCTGATTATCAGTTTCCTCGTCAGTAAAATAGAAATAATAATACTACCTGCATCATAGCGTGTTGAAAGACTTAACTGAGTAAATGTATACAAAGCTCTTAGAACTTTGTTTCCCTTGTATGGTAGGCAGAATTCTAAGAAGGCCCCTATTTCAGAAAAAGAGAGCTAATAGAAGACATATACATAAATGTACAGAGAGAAAGAGACAAAGACAGACACAGATTTATTAAAAGAAACTGGTTCACATGATTATGGAGCCTGATTAATCCTAAGATCTGTAGCTGGCAAGCTGAAAACCTGGGAGAGATGGTGATATATTTGCAGTCCAAGTTCAAAGACCTGAGAACCAGGGCCAATGGCA